TGAAATCCCCCCAGCGCAGAGTGGGGCTATTCCCCTAATTCAGGAGTAGGATCACTCCCGGGGAGACTAGGATCCCAGAAGTGTGGCCTAAACCATCTTGCATCGTTAAATAGAAAGTTCATGAGGAAACCACATCTGTTATCAATTGTTTACAAGAAATTGTGTCTATGTAACTTTAAAGAAGTTAAATGTTGTAATATGGGGAAATGCAGTTAATTTGTACTCTGGAAGCTTTCAAGTACAGAGATTTGATAATAATTAGTTAATTGGTTTTACTGATGTTGCTTGTAGGATAAATATTGATCACGGCACTGGAGAGATCTCTGTTCTTCAAAATGGTGTTAAAGCAACTCTTACATTCACCCATGGGAGCAGAGTTTGTACCTCTGTTTATCACTTTATCTGATCGCTGATGTTAAACAACACCCACAATGCTGCAGCACTCCCTGAGCAGTAATAAATTAGGAAGGCAAATTGTGTACAAAAACAGAAATTACTGGAAAAGCTCAGCAGGTCTGGCAGCATCTACAGACAGAAATCAGAGTTAATGTTTCATGTCGAATGACCCTTGCTCAGAACAAACTGTATGCTGGTCTCCACGGTAACAGGATGAGTTCATGAGTGAAAATTTCCTAATTCTATTCTACAGAACCTCGGTGAGACCACACCTGGAGAACTGTGTGCAGATCAGGTCTTCCCACAGAAAGGATATACATGGAGCACGTGCAGTGAAGGTTCATCAGACTGGATTGCTGGAATAAAAAACAGTAAATGCTGGAGAATCATAGTTACTCTGACATCATCTATGGACAGAGAAACAGACTTAATGTTTTGTGTCCATTATAACTCTTCTTCAGAGCTCTGGATGGTGATATTACTGAGGTTGCCCTATGAGGACAAGTTTATGAGATGAAGAGTTTTGAAGAATGACGGGCTTTGAAAACCTCAAATTCTTACAGGGTAGATGCAGGAAGGACTTCTTTTTTAATGTCTCAGCAAATCTAGAATGAGGGCTGGAATCTCATAATAAGGATTAGGCTATTTAGGACTGAGAGGATGAGGAATTGCTTCAGGGAGGGTGGTGAAACTTTGAAATGCTGTACCCCAAGAGGCTCAGACATCATATTCAGGACTGACATTAATAGATTTCGACATTCTAAAAACACAAAGGAGTGAGATAATGACCAATTGTACCATTTCTTCAACTTTGATATCAAAGTAAATTCTCCAGCCCAGCCTGATGATGATCATTCTGAACAAGGGTCACTGGACTCAAAACATTTCCTCTGTCTCGCTCTCTAGAGATGCTGCCAGACCTGCTGAGTTTCTCCAGCAATTTCAGCTTTGGTTTCAGAACTGCGGATGCTGGAGATCTTTGTTTTATTAAACTGAAAACAGTCCCCCTTCATTCCTTGGTACTTGGAACCCAGAACGTGCAAGCCAAATCAGGTAAGCATGGTAGATTTACCTGCCTAAAGAACATTAGTGAACATTGACATTGTTTCTGACCATAAGATGCAAGACAAGTAAGCCATTCAGAGTCTGCTCCACCTTCCAATAAGATCATGAGAGGTTATGCACTTTGGCAGGACTAGAGGAACTGAATATTATTTAAATTGAGAAAGAGTGCAGAAAGACACAGAACAAAGGAATTGGGGTTACCGTGTGCAAAATTTACGAACAGCTGGATACAAATTTAGACGGTAATAGGGAAGGCGAATGGAATTTTGGCCTTTATTTGAAAGGGAAAGGAGTATAAAACTAGGGAGGTCTTACCACAACTACGCAAGGCACTAATCAGGCCACGGCCAGTTTTGCATCCGTTATTTAAGGAAAGATATACAAGCATTGGAGGCAGTCCACAGAAGGTTCACTAGCCTAATACCAGGTATGCCTTGTGAGGAGAGGTTGAGTAGATTGGGCCTGTACTCAATGGAATTTAGAAGAATGAGCGGTGGCCTTACTGAAACGTACAGGATTCTTAGGAGACTTGGCAGGGTAGATGTGGAGAGGCTTTTCGACTTATGGAAGGATCTCAGACCAGAGGGCATTATCTCAGAAAAAGGGGCTGCCCATTTAAGGCAAAGATGAGGAGGAATTTCTTTCTCTCAGAGTGGTGAAATTTGAGGAATTCTTTGCTGCTGAAGGTTTTTGAGGCTGATAAAGACAGATATTTAAATCAGTAAGGAAGTCAAGTGGGGTTTGAGGATTATTAGTTCAGCCATGGGGAGAGCAGAGCAGTCTCAATGGCTGAATGCCCTACTTATTCTCCCTATGTCTCACGGGATAGTGCAGGAAAATGGTGATGTAAAAGACCAGCCATACCCCAATGAATGGCAGAGAAAACCCGATGGACCAATGGTCAACTCTCACTCCTGTTTCCGGTCACCAGCCGATAAACCAGGACCAGCATGTAATGGCTGCTGGGTCACGGTTTCATTTTTGTGATTACCGACAGTTTGGAAATGTCTTGTCTTTTACTCAGCCCTGGGATGTTACCATTCAGGCGGGGGGTGGGGGTGGTGGGCACAGTGAGGAGGACGAGGAGGAGGAGGAGGAGATGGGGAGAGACAACAGGGAATAATGACCCTGTTCTAAAGAGTGAGCAGGTTCTCCGCACTGATCTTTCAAAGTGGCAGGACACACAACAAATAGTTAACAAAGCCATTGGGTTTCAAAAACAGAAGCATCGAGCACACAAGTAGGGAAGTTATACTGAACCTTTACAAAGCTCTAGCAAATCTCCAACTAGAATATAGTGTCCAATTTTGGTCAGCACTCATTAGGAAGGGTGCAAGGGCTCTTGAGAAAGTGCAGAGCTTTACCAAAATGGTTCCAGGGATGAGGGAATTTAATTGTACTGTTTGGTTAGAGCGGTGAGGGTCCTTCTGTTTGGAGCAAAGGGGGTTGAGGGGAGATTTGACTAAGGCACACAAGGTCATGACTGGTTTAGATCTCGTAGTTAAAGGACTGTTCCCAGTGGCTGATGGCACAAATGGTCAGGTCACAGATTTGTTAGGTTTTGGGCAAGGGGTGCCAGGAGATTTTGGGAAATAATCACATGACAAGTAGTAATGACCTAGAGATCAATGCCTGCAAACATAAAAAAAAGGGGGTGGTGGAAGCCAAGATTTGAAAAGTTACATAAAGGTACTCGAGAGAATCAAAGCTCTAGGACTAGGAGATCGGTGTGAATGGGACTGATGAGATTCCATGCCCTCCTTCTGTGCCGGAAAATATTTGTGCATGGCATCCAGCGACATTATCACCCTACACTCCAACTCATCTGCTAATGTTACCAATTAGGTGCTGAACTGCTTAGTGGTATCCCTCATCGTGTGGTGAAAAACGTGACTCTTAGATCACAGCAAAAGGTTAATTCCCCACTGGGGCCTCAGTTTGCACCAGCTCCCATCAGCTGCAATGCCCCTCAGTAAAGTCTATACAGTAAAGTCTATACCTTGAATTAGTCATACCTAGCTTCAGAGGAACGGCTGCAGCTGCCTGTAGGATTGTGCAGTAGGCCGTATATTTGCAGGGAGTGCAGCTCGTTACAGAGTGAGCCTGGAGCAGTGGCTGCTCAATATGGAGGTCTCACTTCCCAGCAGGTGGTCTTACCCAGTGTGCTGCCATGAACCCTATCACTGGAAAGAGGCTGCTGCCTCCTTGGATACAGCCAATATTTACCCCTCAGACAACAGCACCACAACATGGTAGACACAGAAAATCTTGGAAATAATAAGGGGGTCACACACGACACGTGCAGACAAAAATCAGAGCTGGCATTTCAGGTCAACAAGTTCATCAAATTATAGGAAGTGTATAAGTTTCTATCAAACTGCAGAAACTATCACGGAAACATTTATTCAAACAACAATCCTGTTTTGTATTTGAATTGAATGAATCAGCCCTCCCACCCCAGTTTCTATACTGAGCTGACTGTACTTGGACGGTGAAGCTGGTATCCGCACTGTTGAGGCACCTTTCTGCCATCAGTGAAGGGAATGGGCCAAGCATCACTTGATTGCACCCAATCGACTAAGAAATAAAAAAAAAAGAGGAAGGCGACAGCCTAGTGGTATTATTGCTGGATGTTCATCCAGGGACCAGATAGTGTTCTGGGGACCTGGGTTTGAATCCCATCATAGCAGATAAATTTGAATTCAACACTCAATTGAGAGTCTAAATGATGACCATGAATCCAATGCCGATTGTCAGGAAAAACCCGTCTGGTTCACTAAAGCCGTTCAGGGAAGGAAAGTGCTGCCCCTACCTGGTCTGGCCTACACGTGAGTCCAGACCCACAGCAATGTGGTTGTCTCTTAAGTGCCCTCTGAGCAATTAGGAATGGGCAATAAATGCTGTCTAGCCAGTGATGCCCACATCCTGTAGACGAATAAAATGAAAAAAAAAAACAACGCAAATGAGACATGTCCAGAGCCGCCAAAAGCTGACAAAAAAAAGCCTTGAGGATCATGTTAGGGCCAGATCCCCTATTTGAAAACCATAGGCTTCAATATGAAAGTAAACAGCTGGAAGATAAAGAAGAGGGTGAGGCTGACAGAGCCCTAGAGAAAGCATTGGCTGTTGGTCTGAAATTCAATGTGAAGACAAGCAGAAGAGACTGTCATTAAAAATGTTTGCTATATGCAAACAAATCTACTGCTGATCTTTAAGAAGGTCCTGATATGGTAGCATTTGGTGCCACATTGTGGGATCTGTACACTTACAAGGAACCCAGCTTGCCTGGAGCAGGATACAGTTTGGAGGTGGGGACGGGGACCATCCACTCCCCTTCAGGAAGATGCAGCTATCAATACTGGTTGGAGGCAGTGGGGAGCCTGTGCAATCATTGGAACAAGTCCCACTCACTCAAAGCCCAGAGGAAAGGAGTCTGATTCAAAAGAGACTCTGAATAAAATGACTATTCCCGCTCTGGTCCTGGGAATTATTAAACACCAGAGATCAAAAAGCTATACATACTGATGGGAAGCAATTAATTCAAAAAACAGGATTTTTTTTTTATTAAGACACTGTACAATTCCCAAATGCATTGCAGTTAACACAACAACAGTACAAGGAAGAGCTGCCAAAGGAGGGGCACTGATAAGGATACACATGCATTTATCATCTGGCATAAAACAGCCAAACATGGTACATTGCTCAACCAATAAAATAAAGCTCAAAAACAAAAATTATAAAGAATAAAAAGCACAAATACAATTTCTTACGTTGAGGAAATACTGTATGGAAACACATGACAATAAAGTTGTAGTATTTCAAAATCATTTTCCTCAACTGATTCAGACACTATTAAGATACAAGAAGAAAAATAATATATAAATTCTTCCTTTGCAAAGCTACTGTCTACAATGGAATGACCATCTGTTGTCTTATGATACAATATAAACATCTGATTTCTCTAAAGTGCTATGTTGAGATGAATGTCGATTTACGAAAGGCTGTATTATAAATTGTACAATAACTGACATGTTTTGATTTCAAATGTCCCCCTCACAAAAGTACAAAAATAATTTTTTCTTTGACAACCAAATAAAAAAGTGTTATCTTACATTCTTATAACAAGTCATCGCAGAATGCCACCCATAAATCCCTAATTAGACAAAGCAAACATTAAAACAATCCAAAAGGAAATTATCAAAGATGCTGGAAACTACTCAGCAGATCTGGTAGCATCTGTGGAGACAGAAACAGAGTTAACAATTCAGGCCAAAATATTTTCCAGTTCCAATGAAGGGTCATTACCCTGAAACACAAACCCCGACTTTCCCTCACTATAGATGCCACCTGAGCTGCTGCACATGCCCAGCATTCTTTTGTTATTGTTAAAACAATCCGACTGTCTTTAGCTTAAAACAAACGGGAGGGGGCACTAGCTTTTAAAAAACTCAAATAGTCAGGCAGTAGATTAAAACGTGTGATGCTGGCACCAGGCAAAACTGGAACTTTGTTTCTTGAGATAGAGGGTGAAAGGCCAAAGGATCCCTTACTTTGCAGGACCCTAACTCTCAGACATCTAGTGGTGACAATCATACTCTCACCTGCTCATTTTCAGGAAAATGCCCTCTGCTTCCTAGCAACTAGCCTCATTCTATTCAGACAAACACATTGACCTCATCTTTTAGCTCAAACAATGAACATTGAAGGGACTTATAACAAGTTAAGGCCTCCAGGAGATGAAAGTAGGCCTGACATTTGGGCCACTTCAGACACATCTCTTGTCTTCAGTACTTTAGAGTCTTCACCCTTTTATAGGAAGGAAGTCTTTCAGGGTGGAAGGCTCGGGTTTTTACACATCATGAAGCCTGTTACATTCAAGCGAAAGTCAGCCATCTATTAAATCAAAATCTCCTTTGACATCTTCACTGCTAAGCCTCAGAGATTCAAACATCCATACAAAGAATATAGGGGGCATTTTTAATCCCTTTTAAAACATCTTCAAATTAAAACCAACATGAATCTAAGAAACCCAATAACCTTATTGACCTTATTATTCTCTTTTGTCTAAAGATGGTGGGTGGGACAGGGGCCCAAAAGCAGTTGAGCAAGCTCCAACAAATACAACATTCGAACAGCAAGCATGGATTCAACAGCATTTCGAACACAGACAGCCTTTCCTTTAAACAAGTCATAAGTTACTACTTAGATCTGAAGCAGAATCCTTGGCCAGATTCCATGATGCGATCTTTCTGCAATACTTTCAGAGGATCGGGTCTTAAAACAACAGAAGTTCAGTTAAGGCCAACGACGGATCCGTGATGCTGGAAACAGGAAACCTCCGACAGCAGTGAGCCTGTGATCAATGTACAATGTGTACAGAATGTTGGAGTCTTTTGCTCTCCATGTTTATGGCGAAAAGACTCAAAAGATGGGGAGCCTCTAAATCTCTGCAAGTTGCAGGACACGTCAAGGCATAATTTACCCAATTCCTAATATTACCACAAACTGAAATAGTTTACCTGGTATTTTTGATTTAATGGCACCACCGGATCCTGCGTGCCAGATAACAAATTTGACTGTAGTTCCTCCACAATTTTTATCAGTGGGGAGGGTCCAAGGCCCAGGAGCTGGAAGGCAACAAAATTCAAAAGACTGCAAGAAATGAGGTAGGTGAAGACAATGAATGATTTCTTACAGAGAAGGAGCAAAGCTCCAAAAGCTTGTGTTTTCAAATAAACCTGTTGGACTATAACCTGGCGTCGTGTGATTTCAGACATTACTCTGATATTGGGAAAGATTGATTTGGAACAGGAGAAGGCTGTAAGGACGATACAGGAAGAAAATGCATCAAGTTGTGACAAGGAGCAGAGAGAGGTTAATCTCTCCTAGCGAGGCACGTGAGGGTGGGGTTCAAAGAGTCTTTCCACATCAGGGTAGTGTTCATGCCTTAGGTGTACATTAATTCCAAGGAGAGTTTAATCTGATCAGGAGCTCAAGTGGAAAGGTTGGAGGCTCAGGTTTAACCACTGGAGGGGGCAGAAGATATGCAAATCAAGCAAAAGGAGGTACTATAAAGCCATTATTAGACACTGTTTTGGCTCAGGCTTCAAACTGGAGTATAGTGTCTGATGTGATATCTTCATATCTTCAAAAAGCAGCTGAAGACATTGGATACCCTGGTCTATGGGCCCTGACAACATTCTAATCACAATACTGAACTGTTGTACTTAAGAACTTGCTGCACCCCTAGACAAGCTGTTCCAGTTCAGCTACAATACTGGCATCAACCCCACAAAATGGAATAACACCCAGGTATCTCCCGTGTACAAAATCAGGGACAGATTCTTTCAATTGCCTTCCTACAACTCTATGCTCAAGCATAATGATGAAACAACACAATCAACTGCGATGTGGAAAGGAACAATCTGCTGCCCCTCAATTTGAGTTTTACCAAATTCCCACAGTTCTTGACCTCATTAGTGTTGGCCCAAACATGGATAAAAGGGCTGAAGTCCTGAGATGTGGTGAGTGCAACTTCCCTCAACAGAAAAGCATCAAGGAACCCTAACGGAACTGGAGTCAATGGGACAATAGGGGAAAACTCTCTCTCTTGTTTGGAGTCATATCTTGCATGAAGGAAGATGGTTGTTTGTTGGAAGTCAATCACCTCAGCTCCAGGATATCTCTGCAGGAGTTCCTCAAGATAGTGTCCTGGGCCTAATCATCTTCAGCTGCTCCAATGACCTTCCCTCCATAAGTGCGATAAGCGTGGATATGAAATTGTCAGTGAACGATGATCAGCACCATGCCTAACTTGTCAGAGGCTGAAGAAGCCGGTGTCCTAAAGAAGCAACCCGTATTCACATGTGATAAGACCCGGAAAACATCCAGGCCTGGACTGATAATTGGCAACTAACATTCATAGATCATAGAAGCCCTACAGTGTGGAAGCAGGCCCTTCGGCCCAACAAGTCCACACTGACCCTCAGAACATCCCACCCAGACCCATCCCCCTATAAACCCACCTAAGCTACACATCCCTCAACACTACGGGCAATTTAGCATAGCCAATCCATCTAACCTGCACATCTTTGGACTGTGGGAGGAAACCGGAGCACCCAGAGGAAACCCATGCAGACACAGGGAGAACGTGCAAACTCCACAAAGGCAGTCACCCGAGGGTGGAATCGAACCTGTTCCCTGGCGCTGTGAGGCAGCAGTGCTAACCACTGAGCCACCGTGCCGCCCCAATCATCACACAATCTCCAATGATCATCTCCAACAAGAGAGATTCTGATCATCGCCGTTTGACATTCGGTGGCATTTCTGGCACCGAAACACTCCTTAACAATTGCTAGGGATTAGCATTGACTAGAAAGTGAACTGGACTAGCCACATAAATGCTGTGGCTACAAGAGCAGGTCAGAGGCTGCAGGTAGAAACTCACCTATTGTCTCCCCAAAGTCCGTCCACTATCCACAATGCACAAGTCAGGACAGGAATGTGATGGAAAACTCCCCACTTGCCTGGATGAGTGCAGTTCCAACAACACTCCATGTCAGAGCAGCTTGCTTGTTTGGCACCCTACCCATCAACTTCAACATTCACACCCTCCAACACTGACAGTGTGTACTATCTACAAGATACACTGCAAAACTCGCCCAGGCTCCTTAGACAGCACTTTCCAAATCAATCACTTCTCTTGCCTAGATACATAGGAACACTACCACCAGCAAGTTCTCCGCCAAACAACTCACCAGCCTTGGGAACTCTATTGCTGTTCCTTCATGGTCACTGGGTCAAAGTCCTGAAACTCCTTTCGTAACATCACTGTGGTCTCTCTACAACCCAAGGCCTGCAGCAGTTTAAGAAGACAGCTTAACACCATCTTCTCTGGAGCAATTAAGAACGAGCCTACCAATGCTGGCCTAGCCAGCGATACCCATAACTGATGAATGAATTAAAAAAAAAAATCTGGGCACCACACGTCAGGGAGAATGTCAAAGCCCTGGAGATGGTGCAGAAAAGATTTACTAGAATGGTAGCAGAGATGAGACACCTCAGCATGTGAAAACAGTAAAAGCTGCAGAGCGGACAAAGTCAATGGAGATTTCAAAGCATTACAATTATGAGAGGTTTCAATAGATAACAGAGAAGCTATTTCTACATACAACAATATTGGTAATCCAAGGTCCCAGATCCAACCTCACTGGCAAAAGAGCAAGAGGAGAAATTTGTAATCTCTCTTACAAAGCGAATTGTTATGAACTGCAATGTACGGCCCAAAAGGATGGTAGAAGTAGATTAAATAGATACTCAAAAGAGAGGAAGTGGATGAAGAAGGGGAAACTATTTAAGAGCTATAGGGAAAGAGCAGTGGATTGGGACTAATTCCACAGATCTTTCAAAGAGCTTGCAGAGGCACCTGGACAAAAGGGGTCTCCTTGTGAAAGAAGGTAAGTGTGTTGGGGAGGAACATCTGAGGTGAACTGAAAACCCAAAGTGGTTATTCACACTGGTATTGTATCTGTGCAACATTCTAGCCAGTGGATTTAACACCAGCTACAACCAACTGATGCTAAGTGCATGAATATGTTGACAACACAGGGATGGGGTATGTTATATATGAAAACACTGTGCTTACCTTTTAAATAAAACATAAAATCAAGTGCTTCATGGAAGAAGCTACACCTTGATGGCTAGTAAGACAAAGGAGGGAGAGACACAAAGACAGTGATAACATACACGAGAGAGTGAGTGAGAGCGCAAAAGAACACAAGCAACCTGGAGCAAATCAGGTGCAGATTGTGTCATTAAGGCTGCCCTTCAGTGATACCAACTCTCTCAGTCGAAGATCTCAAATGAATGCTGAATCTCCTTAATGCCGCTTCTGGGTAAATAAGACAATCACTATAAATGAAGTAGATGTAGAGGAGATTCACCAATGGAGCACTTCAGCGATGGAGACAGGCTGGATAAACTCAAGTTGTTTTCTTTGGAGCAGAGAAGGCTGGGGATGGGGGGGTGGGGGGTGGGTGTGTGGGTGGGTGACCTGATAGAGGGGTATAAGATTATGAGGGGCATGAAAAGGATGAATAGGAAATAGCTGTTCCCCTTATTCAAAAGGTCAGTAACAAGGGGGCATAATCTTAAAATGAAAGGCAGGAGGTTTGAGGAAAACCTTTTTCACCCGGAGGGTGGTGGGGGTCTGGATTGCACTACCTGGGAGGTTGAGGCGAGTCACCACATAACCTATAAAAAGTACTTGGATGAGCACTTTAAAGTGTTAAAACATTCAAGGCCATGGGCCTAGTGCAGGTAGTAGTATATTTTTAGTGGTACAGACTCAATGAGCTGAAGGGCCTCTTCAGTACTGCATGGTTCTATGAATAATGACGGCAATTGAACTAAGGACGTAAGAAGCTGGACCCTGTTAAACCACAGCAAACCTCAGTTGTGAGCAACGCACACTAAGAGATATGACCAGTCATTGAAGGAGCCGAGACATGGCCCAGGAACTCACCAAAGGTCAGTAGTGCGTCAGTGAATAGACAGAGCTCCTGGAAGACTCAGTGACTATCACTGCTCACTGTGGTCCGTATCAGGAAATACAAGGGGGAATTGGGTAAAACCTGACAGGAACAGTGTGGTCATATGTTGGGGCGGAGTTCAAACAATGGACCCAGCACACCACAGGAAGGTAGTTCTGTACTAAATAAAGCCAGTCTGATTTGTGAGAACATTGAAACCAGAATCACTTAACACCGCAGTTACAAGCTATGAAATAAAGCACATTCTCCTTCACCTTTAACAGTGGATCCCTGGCCTGAAACATTGAGTCCCGACTGGAACTATTCAGCTGGTTGTAGAGAGTGAGTGAACCTGTGTATTACAGGTCTTAGTTCCTCCCTATCAGATATACTACGGTACACATTTCCCACACTAACTAGATTCCACCCATAGTTACCTCCAGTTTCTGACTGTCTATTTCCCTTTAAGGCAACAGCTGAACTTCTTAGTGCAACGTGAGCAAAGCATTCAATTTAAACATTCACTCCCTCCACCACTAACCCACTAGCAGCAGCATGCACTGTCTAGATGCACTGTAAGAAGTCTCCTTAGACAGCACTGTTCAAACCCATGACCTCTACTACTTGGAAAGAGGGTAGCAGACACATGGGAACACTGCAATTTGATGTTCCCCTCCAAGCCATATACAATCCTGACTTGGCAACGTATCATCATTCCTTCAATGTTGCTGGATCAAAATCCTGGAACCCCCTTGCCAATAGCATTGCGGCTGTCCCTACACCAGATGCAGCAGCAGCTCACCACCTACTTCAAATAGAACAATTCGGGATGGGCAAGAAATACTGGCTCAGCCAGTGACATTCACACCCCATGCACGGACAAAAAGATATTGTTTTGCAGTTTGATCAACGCTCCGTTGAAATCTCATCTCAGGAAGAGACAAGGGAAAACATGCAGAAAGAGAAAAACATATGGAACCAGGGCACCAGGTCTCACTGTCGCTATGTTAAGTCTGTCAGGTCGGGTGCTAACAGGAAGTGGAATGACTCTCAATTTGAGATGCAAATGAATTCCCCAATTCCAGCTCGCTCATCTCCTCTTGACGTAAAGCAATGAGGATGCTAGGCCCTGTCCGTTCAGCACATTACTTCTGTAGTGAGATGCATTGTAAAACCACGTCACCTGGCTTCCCAGAGTACCATCATGAGGCAAGCTACAGTAAAACACTCTACCACTATCCCATCCCCACTTCTCTTCAAATCCCCAGGAGTTAATGGAATCCACCCCAAGTTAGGCTGAGTGCCTGAGCCATTTAAAATATTTATTATTTTAAAAAAAAGAGTGGGTGTTTGAATTTTAGCTTGACATGTACGTCCAATGTCAGACACAAGTATGGTTTGCTTAAGATGAGCCACTCTGACTTCATTTGCTCTATAAGCAATGCCACAGGTCACCACAGTGACAATCATTGGGAAGCAGGCTCTGCACTACCCTCACCCATGAGCAAATTGGAAGACATCAACTAGGGAAAGCAGATTGTCATGACAACTGATGGCAGTGTGACTTTTGACTCTACAACTGATTGTACATCTCATGGGCACATCAGCAGCCAGACAGTGGGGACATTATGCAGAGGGGAACTTCTCAAGGAGCCAACAAAATGGGAGAAATAGGTCAAGGGGGTAATTAGAAACATTTAAAATAGCACCACAGGTTCACATCCAAGCCGAGAAGATCTCTCAAGAGTGGAGGAGTGTCCTCCCATGGTTCGCAATACACCATGAGAAAAGCAACTTGCACAGCAGCTCTTCAATGGTGATGAAATTTTAAGATCAGCCCTAAAGGATTCCACCCTTTGGAATCACCAGCTTTGGAACTACGCAAATAGGCTTTCCAATCCCTTTCAACGGAAGATCAATCCTTACAGAATGACAAAGGGAGGGAGTCACCAAATGATTAAAGCACAGTAGAAAGCCATTTGGATCATCCACTGGGCCAGGTTTGACAGTGATGCTGTCCATTTGCCCCAATCTATAAAATCCATTCAGGCTTGATGAGAAGGATTGAGTGTACTGGATGAATAGAAGCAGTGGGAATCATACTGGGAAGTGTCCAAATTGACATAGAAAGAGCCAACACACCCTAAGTTGTGGAAGATTACAAAGGGGGATGTCAATACTCAGGAGGAAATCAAATTTTAAAGCAATCCCGATTGAGAAGTAGTTTTCGATTAAAAAGAAAATTAAGCACAAAAATAAATACCGTTATCTCAACTTCAAAACTGACCAAGGTTTATAATGCCCACCACTGTGAAAGAGACTGTTCGATTTGATGAGGTTGAACAGCTAGTGGAAGGAGATAGGGATATTACTGAAAAGGCGAGTGGCACAGTCCATTGAGAGCAGATGGGGAAAGGGAAAAAAAAAAGTCTTGACGATAAACAGAAGGCAGTCTTGGCATTGTAAAGTGTGTGAAGATGGCTTTTCACATGAAGCGTTAATCCAAAATGGCCGACTCCAATCCAGGTAACTGGAATGCCAATGCGATTTCCAGCCACTATCTCCAGGGGCACCACACAGCAAGGCCAATGATGGAGTTAGAGCCAAAGTTCTGCTTTGTCACTGAAAGAACAATCAATATCTCTGAGGTCGTGAAGCCAACTAAAAAAGAAAGCCAATAGCAACTCGGAAACCATCCATCTGCTGACAACCTTTGCCTTCCATTATTTCTTCGTCGTATTCAGGTGCAGTTACGTCAAAAGTTTATCTCACTCCAGGGAGACGCAGAATTTGCAAAAGATGTCATTTTTTTAAAAAAAAGTTTTTTGTTTGCTTAAAAAAATGTTTTTAGAAGTTCAATACACAGCTGACAGACAGCAAAGTTTGTTGAAAGGTCAAAGGTTAAGAATTGGCACATCAAATAGATCGCAGACACCTTCGCTGTCATCGAGGTTGAAGTAATAGTCGTGGTCTCCTGGTGGCGGAGACAGCCTCAGCAGAGGAGCGAAAACTGTAAGGGAGACAGGACGAGTGACACGGTTAAACAATGCAGCACACAGCAGGAGGCACTCAATGCGAGGCCTCACTGGCAATGATGCAGAAAGGATGGATCATGTAGACAAGTTTGCCCAGCTGCCTCATGGTGGTCAATCCAACTTTGCATCATAGGGAAACCCACCACCCCCTCCAAAGCTGTATGAACAATACCTCCCTGACAGGGTTCCTATTCCTCTGAAATGGTCCAATCCAACCATCTTTTACATCTCTGACCTAGAGAAGAATCTCTCCACCCCATCCTTCCCAACTCCTTGGGACTCCCAAGTTTGAAATGCTCACCTTCTGAAGACATCAGCTCGTCTATGAGGTCGGAATCCATACATTCTGCAAAATAGAAACAAGGAATGTGCCAACGTGTTGCAAGGTCACCAAATCATGTATCACATCTGGGCCAAACAGCACAGAAGTAGCTCTCTCTCTGGTAACACCCACCACCCAAGCCAAATCTCCCCAGTCCTTCAATCTGCTACATTTATTCCAGAGCAGGAATCATAAGAACAAGTGTCCAATCATTTCCAAATCTAATCAACAAAACTGTAGCCACACTCACCAGCCATTTAGTTTCTTCCGCTTGGCTATTTTATAATGATGCTTCCAATTATTCCCACACCCAGTTCTAAAAGGCACTGTTCTTTGTTGGAGTCCTTTCTAGTCACTACTCATATCATTACTTTTTAAACAAAATTATTTCACAAAATATGGATGTTGCTGGCTGGATCAGCATTAATTGCTCATACCAAAGCATCCTTAAGAAGGTAAAGAGCTGTTGTGTTGCACTGCTGCAGTTCTTGAGGTGCAGGGGCACCCAGTGTTGTACAGGAGATTCCTGATTTTGACCCAGCAACAGTAAAGGAATGATGATCCAGAGCCACGCCAGGACAGTATGTGGTGTGAAGGGCAACTTGCATGGGGGCATCGCAACCTGCAAATGCTGCCCCTTTTAGGGAGCAGGGGTCATGGGTTTAGTAGATGTTGTCTAAAGACCCTTTGGTGAGTTGCTGCAAAGCATCTTGGGAATGATGCAGACTGCTGGCACTATACGTCACCATATCCTGGACAGGCAGCCTTGTCTCAGTGGGTAGCACTCTCATTGCTGAACTAAATATTGCAAGTCCCGCTCCAGAAACCCACGCACAGGTTCAAGATGAACGCTGCCTTGCAGTAGCAACAGAATGCTGGATTCGCAGATGGGGTATTAAAACTTGGGCCCCCATTTGTCCTGAAATGGACACAGGAAGTCCTATTGGAGTATTTTAAAGAGCAGGGAGTTTTCCACAACTCTCTGGCCATCCCCTTGTTCACTGAAACAGATCACCTGATCATTGATATTATGACGCTGCTGCTTGTGGGAGCTTGCTTTGCACAAATTGGATTTCACATTTCCTTTGTTAGAATAGTGATGACATGCCAAAAGCTGTTTATTAGCTGTAAAGCAATTCGAGAAGTGTTAAGATGGTGAAAGATTCGACGAGAAAAGCAAAGTTAAAGTTCCTTGGTGTAACACTGCACGTCTGAAAGGTTGAAAGAAACAGGAAAACCTGTTGGGGGAACCTGAAGGCGCTGGTGCTGAAAGCAAGACGCCCCCTTGGTATGGGGAATGGAGTTCAGCTGGAAATGGAGCATCTGGGAGTTCCAGAGACTGAACAGCAGCAGGTTAAGGGGGACAAGACAGAAAAACAGACAAACACACTCAAACTCAGCCCCAGTTTAGCAGTGGGGACTTTCCAAATTAGATTTGGCAGTTGATGAACCCAGTGCATGCAAAGACAAGTTATCAGACTGAGGAAGAAAACAAAGCAAAAACTACCAGGCGAAACAGAACTGTTGCAGAGTGTGTATCTTCGTTGAAAACAACAGCTGGGCAAACAGTGAAAGATCTTCTGGCAGGGGATGGGACTGGCTCATCTGGTGAGCTTTCACCCTACCTTACAGCAGCTTGGTGAGGGCCTCATTCTCTCCTTACTCTTAGGGTGAAGGGCATAGATTGAATCTGGTTCTAACAACATCAGGCTACACATGACCCAATAATGGTCACTCTTCAGTCAAGAGGCTGAGGAGCTGCGGGAGTGGCTGGTTTGAGAAACTCAAGGGTCATAGTGATGTGGAGGCTTGACTCTGCTTCTACCCCAGTCTATATTGGAGACCTGAAATAGCAACACTCAATAACAACATGGGATCCACTCAGCTGACTGTGCTATAAGCTAAGGCTGTGCCACAAAGTTCCTTAATTATGTGGTAAATTTTAAACAAATACACTGTTCAATTTTAAACAGATAATGTCTTATACTGTCTCCCTTCCCTCTCACCCCTTCTCTAGTGACTCAGAATTATTTCACTTAACATCATCTGGTGAATAACCAATGGAAGGAGATACAGACTTAACTGATGAGTCCAATTTGTTAGAAGTATTGAAGTAAGGTTAAAAGTCTTGACAAAAAAACAAACATTTGGGTTTTTAAAATTAGTGAGCATGGCTTCTCAGAGGGCTTTCCTGAACAGCAATATGGCATTTTTGTCCCACAGCTATTAAGTCACCAGGTAGTGAAAGGCTTTGTATTTATACAGCTCCTCAGGACCTCCCAGTGCACAAAAGCTAATGAGAGTTATTTGGGAGCATAGTGGCTGTTCTGATTTTGGAAACGAGAACCACAGCATGCACAGCAAGATCTCTCAAGCAAGATAACCTGGCAACCATAAACAAGAGGATGCTCAAGGAACAAACAGCAAAATCCACACACAGCCAGAAGTGTTCGGCAGGTACAGGCTGTTGAAACAGTGACAATTCCTGTGTCTCAATGTTGGGGAGTCCCAACGCACCAAGTTTTAATGTGACTTGGTACATCAAGAGTGAACTGGTCCCAGCAGAGACAATACTTCCTTTCTCCATGTTTACAGGACACTTCAACTGTAGTAAGGCAATGTGTTGACTGCGTCCAATATCGGCTCGGTCTCATTGTATCACGTCATGACTGGTCACACGATTACAGAAGTCCAACAAAAGTTCCAAAACAATGTAACAGCTTATAAAACAATAACTACTGCTCCAGAAATGTGAGGAAATCAGCCTCAACACTGAAAATACTTCAAAAACAAAAAGCAAAAAGAGCAGCTCTTACAGCCACAACTTTTTTCCATCCTCCATCTTGGATTACCTGGGGCTAATTTCTCTTGAGCGTCAGAGGCTGAGGGATGACCTTATACAAGTTTATAACATCATGACGGACATAGGTTTAAGGTGAGAGGGCGAAAGATTTAAAAGGGACCCGAAGGACAACTTTTTCACACAGAGGGTGGTGTGTGTATGGAACGAGCTGCCAGAGGAAGTGGGGGAGGCTGGTACAATTACAACATTTAAAAGACATTTAGATGGGTATATGAATAGGAAGGGTTTAAGAGGGATATGGGCCAAATGTTGGCAAGTGGGACTAGATAAATTGAGGATATCTGGTCGGTACGGACGAATTGGACCGAAGAGTGCGTTTCCATGCTGTACAACTCTATGACTCTGTCTTTCTTGAAATTGAACACAGTTCTTCCAACCACATTCAGATGCTTCACATTGAAATGGAAACACTGAATGGGGTATAATTCAGTGCAGAATGAGACCTGGGATGCAGGTTAAGAGGTGCAGAATGTCAGGTCAGGTGTGAACAGGGTGAACTCAGATCAGTGGCTTGGGTATATTCTGACACAGTGAGAGCGAGTGCTGGCTGAAGTTAGGTTAGACGGTCCAAGGGAAGGTAGATGGCACGGCTGATATTGAGAACTGATCATCACAAACGGTCTGCAAATGTCTCCTCACTGATCAGAGCCAAGCTTATCGGTTACGTTGGTCAAGCTGCATTTGTGCAACTCAGCAGCAGAGGGCGACAACTCACAGCGATGAGGAGCTCGAACTAGGAGAAGACAGGAGGTGAAACACAAGGGATTTTAAACAAGGGCAACGCTGAGCAGGACAACCCCAGAGTGATGGTGATCAGCCAGCAATCGATCTAAGCACCTTGGGGCAAATGTAGCTAACCATCACACCAACAATTACATCAGGGTGAACAGAAAACAAGCAAGCTCCTTGTGCTCAGGATAAATCCCTTCAGAAGAGGGCAAGAGACAGAGCAGAGTCAGGGCAACCAGCGACCATGGCTCATGGGTTCAGAATCACGTAAACATGAACATGAAAATGGTTGGAGGCATAGGACACAGTCCCCAATCAGAGTGAAAGCTCACCCAGTCACGCCTACCTTTAGTGGGGTCAAACATCTCTGTCAACTCTTTCGGAAACTCCAAGTCTGTGAACGAGAAAGCAGAACAGCGTGTTAGAGCACATGGACAAGGTGTGGTGGGGGGCAACAGGGAGGCACAAATAAAGATAGTGTTGGGCCTGGCGAGCAGAGGTGGCCAGGTGAGGGAAGGGGAGGAGGCAGGCAATTCCCCAAGATGGATGGGGAAAGGATGGGAAGCATTCATCACTAAATAAAAGCAGGGGATTTAAACATTTTGAAGTTTCTTCCTCAGCCACCTCCCCCTTCACTCATTAAGGCAGGGACACTGTTCAATGCAGGAGTCAGTGTGAGCCCAAAGACGGCATTTCTCAGATACCTTGCAAGATGACGAGTGGCCAGGAACGTCTGGACTCATTCATGTCAGGTCAGCTCAGCTCAGCAGAAACTGGTTCTGGTCAAGGAAACTCAAATTCACCAATCCAGTAACTCCCTCAAGGCAAGTATATTCACCCGCAGACAGAGATCAAGACTGTATACAAGACTATAAGTTGCTTGCTTTCAGCGGTGGGAGTGGTGAGAGCGCGAGCCAGGGTGCAGTCAGGAAGCTAATCTTTTTCCTGTAAAAACTTACCTCGTGCAGCAGCAGCCTTCTTGCTTTCAGCAGTGGGAATGGTGACAGCACGAGCCAGAAAGTGAACTTATATATTCGGGCATTGGCTAAACCCAAAACACTACACGCGTAGTGTCGCACACCCATCCTCCTCCTCTAACCAAAAAAAAAGACTGTGTGGAGGGTGGGTAAGGTAAGGCTTTTTTTAATTCTTCTGGAAATCTAGAATACAGGGAATGGAAGCTGGGGCAGTTACATGCTCCTCTTGCAGGATGTGGGAGCTAAGGGTCACTGCTGGTGTCCCCTCTGACTTCACCTGCGAGAAGTGCATCCAACTCCAGCTCCTCAAAAACCATGTTAGGGAACTGGAGCTGGATGAACTCCAGATCATTCAGGATGCTGAGGGGGTGATAGAGAGGAGTTATAAGGAAGTGGTCACACCCAAGGTACAGGAAAAAGGTAGCTGCGTGACTGTCAGGAAGGGGAAAGGGGATAGGCAGACAGTGCAGGGATCCCCTGTGGCCAGTCCCCTCAATAATAAGTATACTGGTTTGGATACTGTTGCGGGGGACGACATACCAGGGGAAGGCCATAGCACTGAGCCGGGTCCTGTGGCACAGAAGGGAAGGGGGGAGAATAGGAGAGCAATTGTGGTGGGGGATTCAATAGTAAGAGGCACAGACAGGCGGTTCTGTGAACGCGAATGAGACTAACGAATGGTATGTTGCCTCCTGGGTGGCAGGGTCCGTGATGTCTCGGATCGTGTCTTCAAGATCCTTAAGGGAGAGGGTGAGCAGCCAGCAGTCATGGTACACATCGGTACCAATGACATAGGTAGAAAAAGGACAGAATGTGAAAAACGAGTACAGGGAGTTAGGTTGGAAGCTGAAGTCCAAGACAAACAGGGTAATTATCTCTGGATTACTACCAGTGCCACATGATAATGAGGTAAGAAATAGGGAGGGAGTGCAGCTAAACACGTGGCTACAGGGCTGGTGTAGGAGGGAGGGCTTCCATTATGTGGATAATTGGAGCACATTCTGGGGAAAGTGGGACCTGAACTGGAAGGGCACAAATATCCCGAGAGGGAGGTTTGCTCGAACGATACGGGATGGTTTAAACTAGATTGGCAGGGGGTGGGGAACCGGATTTGTAATTCAGAGGATGAGGTATTCAGCCTTCCAACAGACACAACAGGGATTGAGCTTGTTAATAAAGAAATGCGGCCAATGGAGCGTAATTGTGGACACAGATGGTTTGAGGTGTGTAAACTTCAATGCTAGAAGCATCAGAAATAAGGTGGATGAACTTACAGCATGGGTCAGTTAATGGAGCTACGATGTTGTGGCCATCACAGAAACTTGGGTATCTCAGGGACAGGAATGATTGCTGGAAGTTCCGGGATTTAGATGCTTTAAAAGAAATAGCGGGGGATGGGAAAAGAGGCGGGGGAGTGGCATTGCTAGTCAGGGCTAGTATAGCAGCTACTGAAAGGCAGTTCGAGAATGATACGTCTACAGAATCAGTTTGGGTTGAGGTCAGGAACAAGAAAGGAGCAGTCACTTTGTTGGGGGTTTTTTACTGACCCCCAAATAGTTGCAGAGAAGTGGAGGAGCGGATTGGGAGGCAGATACTGGAAAGGTGCAGAAGTCACAGGGTTGTAGTCATGGGTGGCTTCAACTTTCCAAATATTGATTGGAAACCTTTTAGTCGTAATAGTTTAGATGGAGCAGATTTTGTCCAATGCGTTCAGGAAGGATTCCTGACACAGTATGTAGATAGACCAACATGAGGAGAGGCCACTTTGGATTTGGTGCTTGGCAATGAACCGGGCCAAGTGTTAGACCTGTTGGTCGGAGCATTTTGGTGGTAGCGATCATAACTCTGTTACTTTTACAATAGTCATGGAAAAGGATAGGTACATACAGCAGGGTAAGGTTTATAATTGTGGGAAGGGTAATTATAATTCTGTTAGGCAAGAACTGGGTAAACATAAAATGGGAACAGATGCTGTCAGGGAAGAGCACTATAGAAATGTGGAGATCGTTTAAGGAGTGCATACTGTGTGTGATCGATATGTTTGTCCCTAGCAGGCAGGGAAGATGCGGTCGAGTGAGGGAGCCTTGGTTCTCGAGAGAGGTCGAACGACTGGTTAAGAGGAAGAAGGATGCTTATATAAAGTTTAGGAAGCAAGGATTGGAAAAGGCTCTGGAGGGTTACAAGTTTGACGAGAAAGAGCTGAAGAAAGGGCTTAGGAGAGCTATAAGGGGGCATGAGAAAACCTTGGCAGATAGCATCAAGGAAAACTCCAAGGCTTTTTATGCGTACGTGAGGAATAAGAGAATGACCAGAGAAAGGGTAGGGCCGATCAAGGATTGTAAAGGGAATTTGTGTACGGAGCCTAAAGAGATAGGAGAGGTCCTTAATGAATACTTTTCTTCGGTATTCACAACTAAGAGGGACCTAGTTGTAGGGGAGGAGAGTGTGAAACAGGCTGGTAGGCTAGAGGAGGTGGATGTTAGTAAGGAAGATGTACTAGGAATTTTGCAGAACTTGAAGATAAATAAGTCCCCCGGGCCTGATGGGATTTATCCAAGGATTGTATGTGAAGCGAGGGAAGAGATCGTGGGGCCTTTGGCGATGATCTTTTCATCCTCAATGTCCACGAGTATAGTGCCGGAAGATTGGAGATTGGCAAACGTCATTCCCTTGTTCAAAAAAGGGAACAGGGATAACCCCGGAAATTACAGGCCAGTTAGTCTTATTTCAGTGCTGGGCAAATTATTGGAAAGGGCTCCGAGAGATAGGATTTATGATCACTTGGAAAGGCACAGTTTGATTTGTGATAGTCAGTATGGCTTTGAGAGGGGTAGATCATGCCTCACAAACCTTACTGAATTCTTTGAAGAGGTGACCAAACACGTGGATGAAGGTAGAGCAGTGGATGTGGTATACATGGATTTAAGTAAGGCGTTTGATAAGGTTCCCCATGGTAGGCTCATGCAGAAAGTAAGGAGGCATGGGATAGGGGGAAATGTAGCAGATTGGATTCAGAATTGGCTGACCCTCAGAAGACAAAGGGTGGTAGTGGACGGAAAATATTCAACATGCTGCTCAGTTACGAATGGTGTACCACAAGGATCTGTTCTGGGTCCTATTCTATTTGTGCTTTTTTGTAAATGATTTGGATGTAGGAGTGGAAGGGTGGATTAGTAAGTTCGCGGACGATACGAAGGTGGGTCCAGTTGTGGATACTCAGAGAGTGGTAGGGGCATGGAATGCATTGCTAGAGAGGGTAGTAGAGTCGGCCTCACTAGGGGCAATAAAGCGGCTATTAGATAGGCGTATGGATGGTAGTATAAGGTAGGGGTGGAGGTTAGGTAGACCTTAGGTTTAGGGTAAAAGTTTGGCACAACATCGTGGGCCGAAGGGCCTGTACTGTACTGTTCTGTGTTCTACAGAATTACAGGAAGACTTCCTTATTCAAGTATTCAAATCCTCTTGCAATAAAGGCCAGCATCCCACTTGCCTTCCTAATTGATTGCTGCATCTGTACATAGGCTTTCAGTGACTTCTGGACAAGAATGCCTCGGTCCCTTTGCACATCAACAATGCCCTCACTCTCATTAGGATGTTGCATGAAGAATGACAAAAGACCTAAACTAACTGGGGGAGAGGCAGCAGAGATGATACTGACCGTTTATCTAGACACGGTGACTGTTCTGGGCAAATAAGAAGGGGGCAGTCATACCAGTGCACTGCCGCAGGTAATTCAGGGCACCAGAAGAGTGCATAAATAAAAGGAAAGGAAAGCAAACTAATACCTTAGCTAAAACTGAAAGCCCCATTTGTCCAAACAGTTTGACCAAATGTTCTGAAGTAGAATACAGGAACGGCTAGACAAACCTGCCTCAGTACACGTCACCAAATGCCAAACTGCCTGTTCTGTGGTGGGCTGTACCACAAGCTGCTCCAAACAAAAACCATCTTGTAGACATTCTATGAATTCCTTTCCTTGATATCCACTACTAACTGCGTATTGAAGCCCCACATCCTGACTAGGAGGCCTGTACCCAACTCCAGTCAGGGTCTTATTCCCTTTGCCATTCCTCAAATCTAACCATAAGGATTCTATACCTTCTGACTCTATATCACTTCTTGCCATTGATTTAATTTCATTTCTTACTAACAAGGCAACCCTGCCCCTCAGATTGTCTGCCTGTCCTTTCGACAGGACGTGCATGCTTGAATACTTTGTTCTCAGCCCCGAGCCCCATGCAGCCACATCTCTGTGAAACGCACATCATACCTGCCAATTTCCATCTATGCTACAAGCTCATTTACCTAGTTTCATATACTGTGTGCATTTAAGCACAACACCCACAGTCCTACATTGAGAAGGGGGGTGCAGTCATTGTTGTCCCCTCATCTGTCATGCCTGAAGTTAGTAGATTCC